GAACATGACAATGAGTTCACTGTACTAAAATGGCCCCCACAGTCACCAGATCTCAACCCAATAGAGCATCTTTGGGATGTGGTGGAACAGGAGCTTCGTGCCCTGGATGTGCATCCCACAAATCTCCATCAACTGCACGATGCTATCCCTATCAATATGGGCCAACATTTCTAAAGAATGCTTTCAGCACCTTGTTGAATCAATGCCACGTAGAATTAAGCCAGTTCTGAAGGCGAAAGAGGGTCAAACACCGTATTAGTATGGTGTTCCTAATAATCCTTTAGGTGAGTGTACAACTTATTTTTTCGGACAGTGAACTAGATACATAAGTAGGTAATATTAGTTTAGTATATAAGGCAACATTATCAATAGTATTATTGAGTTTTGGTCTACAACCTGTCACATCAGAGACAAGGATGGAAATGAAGGCAGGTGTGGGAAGAACCAAAGGGGTCTTTATTTACACAAAACTACACAGAAGGCAAAAAGAAATGGACCACAAGGGGTCAAAATGGGGTAGAGAGACAGGAGGCAGGGCAAACAGGGGAGCACATGCACGCAACAACATCAATGACTGGACTGGGGAGCTCAACAGAGGGAGGCACTAAATACACCACTGACGAGGTAGCAAACAAGAGGCACCCGGGGTGATCCACACAAGAGCTGTAACGAGAGGCAGGATTAAACAAGTAACAGGTGTGGCTCATTAGAGCCATACAATGGAGAAAATGAGGGGGAAAGGAATGCAGGGTGTGGCACAACCCCGTTTCCAAAAAAGTTGTGACATTGTGTAAAATGTAAATAAAAACAGAATGCTATGATTTGCAATTTATATAAACCCATATTCAATTGAAAATAGAACAGAGACAACATATCAAATGTTGAAAGATACCCTAAAGAAGCCTCTGGCTAATGCTAATTTTGACTAAAGGCACAGCGTTCTGAAGGCCAGACACACACTTAATATCAAAATTATTACTCACCAGTTTAGCCGCCCAATACCACTCACAGCAGTAAAGCTTGGGTTCTGTCATTATATCAGCCAGACAGTTGTGGTCCATTAAAACAGAGAATGTGTGACCATTGAGTACTTTCAGCTTCCTGCTCTACCACCTCTCTTAGATCTGTTGATACTCTCGTTGTTGTGTCTTGAGCTATTTCTAAGTTATTGCTACTATTCCAGGTCAGTAGATGGCGTTGGGGGAATGTAGAACAGAAAAAAAGGGTTGTTGCAATGCTGTAATGAGGGTGGATGCATCTGGTCGGGGATTAAAACAAAGAAGTGGTGTGAAATTTACGCCGGTGTCCTGTGCCTCCTATTCTCCACATCACCTTGTACAATACAACAAAATTGCCGACGATGATGGCTGCCATTGCTATTCCCTTGCCTTTATGTTCCTGCAGTGTCCAGGAGCACCTAATATGCCATTTGAGACATGGTTAAAAATGTTCGAAAATGATGTACTTGCAATTGATGCAAAGGGAGCCCAGTGGCCCAATACCCACAAATGGGCTGTATTGCTGTGACTTATGATCAGGCTGTGGTTGCCCTTAGAGCGCATTTAATGTGGAAAGTAAATGCAATTGTGGAAAGACATGTTTCGCCAGTGTGCGCAGAGGCATGGTGAAACGGTTGTGCAATATGTCTCCACACTACGTGAGATGCTTCCAATATGTGACTTGGGGAATGCTGAACAGGATATGCTGCGAGACCAAATCATGGAGAAAACAGAGTGGTCACATACGTGAACGTTTGCTGCTAGATGATAAACTAACAATGGATAAAGCCATTCAGATTGCCAGTAAGTTGGAATCGGCCACACGTGATGCTAGTGCTGTCTCACGTGGTGAAGTACCTGTGCAGGAGATACATTCCCTGCCACGGAGGGAACATAAACACTCCACAAGCGCAGGTACTCATAAGAAATCTGCACATACTCGCAAATGCTACAGATGTGGTTCTGATAACCATTTGGCAAAGTCTGCGCAATGCCCCGAGCTAAACAAAATAGCAAAAAGACTGGCCATTTTGCTAGAGTGTGCCGCTCGAGTCAGACACCAGAAGTGAAAGAGATTGTTATTCCTGAATTGACTGTTCTTCTAACTGATGCTGCCCCTGCTGAAAAAAAAATCCTGTGCACTGCAGGCATTGGCACACCTCTTCATTGCAACCATTCATTGTAAAATTTTTTGTTGTGAATTTACAATAAATAATTGGATAAATTTTGCATGACTTTCACAGTAAGGATTACAGCAATATAATGTGAAATATACTCACAGTAATTTACTTTACTTTTATATCTGTGATATTACAATGCATTGTTGTAAAAGCACAACTGTATACTGTAACTCCACAGCTTACTGTGATATTACAGTATATTACTGGGGAATTACAACCTTTTGCTGTACATCATTACAACAAGGCCCTGTACTTTTACAGTGTGCACTGTGAAAGTAATGTACAAGTTGACAATAATTTACTGTGAATTTACAATGTACACTGTGGAAGTCATGCTAAAATTGTCCAGTAACTTACTG